GAGAGAGAGAGAGAGAGTTGTAGTTGCTCTGATGGGTAATTTTAACTATTATTTTAAGATATGTAGTTGCTCTGATTGATTGTTCTTGAAAAATATATTGCACTTTTTTTTTAAGAACTTTTGGCGAAATTTTTTTATGCTAATTTCTCATTGTATACTTTTTCTATCTTTAAATCAAAATTCAAAGATATCAATCAATGAAGAGATAAACAGTCATGAGAAATGAGTTTTTTTGAAAAAAAAAAATTGAAAAAAAGATCAAATTCAGATTTATGTCGGTTCCATTAAAACAATATCAATCAATGAAGAGACAAAATCTCACGCTTTTTGTTTAAATTTTAAAATATATTTTTATTGTGTTGTTCTCCTTTTAACTCTAACTACTACTTTAAGATATATGGTTGTTTTGATGGATTGTTCTTAAATAATATATATTGCACTTTTGTTACGTACTGGTGAAATTTGTTTTATGGCAATTTCTTATTGCATACTTTTCATATCTTTGAATTTTGTGGCAATTTCTTATTGCATACTTTTCCTATCTTTAAATCAAAATTTAAAGATATGAAGAGATAAAAGTCATAAGGAATAAGTGCTTTTGAAAAGTTTTGTTGAAAAAGATAAAATTAGGAAAAAAAAATCAATTTTTTTTAAAAAAATAATTTTTTAAAAATCTCTTGAAAAGTTAGAAATTTTTAACAGATTTTAAAAATAAATTTTTTTTAAAAAAATCATATTTTAAATAAGGACTTGCTAACTATGAGTGTGACAACCTTAGAGAGAGAAAGAGATGAAGAAGTAGATGAAGAGATAGAGAGAGAGGCATTGATGTCGTAGAGTTGGGGAGTATACTGGTGTTGAAGCATTTGCCACGTCTACTTACTTCCATACACAATTTAGTGACAAGCAAAAGGCCCTATTTTGTGAGCCGGCCGGTGTACATATTACTTTTCGCTGAAAGGCCAATATTGAAGGAGATGGGAAGATATGATATGAACGGCCAAGAATATATTTTGTCACATATTTTTTGTGGGGTCAGGTTTGCGTAAGGTGCCCACCTTACACTATACAAGTGAGTGCACCTAAAATTTATGGGAAAATGTAGCTGCGATGTTTGAAACCTTCCATTGGCTTGAAAATTTATGTTCAAACCAAATGATGAAATTTAAAATTTCAAACACGGTACAAATCGATTAGATCTATAAAAATACAAAAATCTTGAAAATAAATTGTCCAAATAAACTCAAAGAAGTGCAATATTTTTTAGTAAGGTATGGAAGTTTCGAATTCCTCATCAAATTCAAGCTTTCCTTTGAATTTTTGTTCAAGAAAAAACTTTTAACTATTGGTAATTTGCATAAGAGATGAAAGATATTGGTGAATGTTTATTTTCTTTGTAAAAGGGATGAGGAAACTTATGAGCACTTTTTTTACATTGGTCCTTTACTAGAGCCTTGTGGGAGTAGACATTTCAGTTGATGGGGGTGCGGTTGTTGTTGCCTAGGAGTCACCCATATATTATGATGCATTTGGAGTTGCCTAATTTGACGAAATGTGAGGGTGCGGTTTTGGGGGTGGGGATAGAAGAGATATAATAGAGTTTTACATGGCTTGTGGATTTGGTTTTCAATATCCAAAGAAGGAGATGGTGTTCCAAAAGTAAATATTTGGACTAATATAAAGAATATCATCTCTAATTGTTGGATATGGTGATTATCCAAAATCACTTACATAAGAAAATCTCATATTATGTGTGATTGGAATTGATATTGATAAGTTTGTCAAATGAAATAGAATCCAAACAGATTAGGACTTTGAGATATATCTTTTGGTTCTTGAGATATATGTAATACCTATATGAAGTTTCCTATTTGATGTTTTCTAACCTTATATATATATGGAATGAAAGAAAAGAGAAAATGTATGCTCTATTTGGATCACTATATGAGAAAGGTGGCTTCCTCTAAAGAGAGAGCTTGGGCCGCCTTTGCTTCAGAGGCAAAGCCCCTCCTTAAAAAGAAGAGAGCTTCCTATAGAGAGAAACACCATGGACGAGCCTCATGTACCTTCCTATGGAGAGAAACACCATAGATGAGCCTGCTATAGATTGAGAGGCTGGTTTCTTGTAGAGAAGCGGTTCTTATGTAGATTTTAGGTGGTTTCCTCTTTTAGTGAAAGACAGTCTTGGCTGCTCTGAAGGGTCTCTTCCTAGAAATCGGTTTAGCTATGGAATAGAGATGAGTCTCTTCCTGGACAGTAGCTTAACTGTAGAATTGAGATGAGAATTCGGCGATTCGTGCCGATCGGGAGAAACCACTGTGGAATTGAGATGAGAGTTTGGCGGGTCGTGCCAATCGGGAGAGCGGGTCTAAAAGGGTTTACTCAATTGGTTTTGTCGAGGGTTAAAGAGGTATCTCTATGTCCCAAAATCTGTAACTTTCATTGGTATAGGTATAGTGGATTTCAATTTGCCATGCCCGTGGATGTCACCCTTTTGGGTGAACCACATAAATCTTTTCGTTCTTGTGCACATATGTTTTATGTTTTATTTTTCGTACTATGGCTCGTAGCCATGCCTATTTTGTTTTTAGCTAAATAAGTAAATGATCTTGGTGGAATCCAATTCTTGATATTCATGTTTCCACATCTAAGAGGGCTCTTAAATCCTACACTAATGTCACTTGACAGCTAAAGCCAAAGGGGAGATGGAGAGTGTCAAAATTGAATTTTGATGGGAGTTCCCTTGAAAATCCGGGGATAACAAGTTTTGGAGGAGTGCTTAGAAACTCCGAGGGCGATTGTTCTTTTGCTTTTGCAGGATTGTGTAGGGTGGCAACAGCAAATGCGGTGGAATTTAAAAGTCCATTGCAAGGATTAAAGGTTTTAAGCTGTGAGATGGCAGTATTAACTGTGTTATTTGGTATTAGTTGTGTTATTGAAGGAGATTCCCAAAACCCAATTAATTGGTATAAGAAGATTAACAAACCACTATGGAAGTTGCTACAAATTTGGGCGAGGTCAGGGGTTGATTGCTTCTTTTCACCTTGTCGATTGGGAAGCTAAAAGTATGCAGCCGGTCTTGCAAAACAGGAGCGCAATTGACATGTGTTCTTGTTGTTGATGAGCTCATTATTGATGTTGTTGTAAGTTATATTTGATTAATAAGATTCATATAATATTGTCAAAAAAACAAAAAACCTTGTTATAACATGCATTATTTTTAAGACGTAAAATTTTTTTTTTCTTTTATATTCATACATCTCAAGGCTAAGATGATTAATTAGAAGGTTTTCCAACTATGAAACATTCTTTCCTACTAGATTTTTGAAGCACAACATACTTCTATAATTTTTGTGGCACACCTTACTTCTATAATTCTATAGTGTGAGGAAAAGAACCCAGGTTTAATTGGCTAGTGTTCTATACTTCTATAGTGTGACGAAAAGAACCCAAAAACTTAATTGATTAGCACTTGACAATTTGCAACGCTATGTCTTAGACTCAATTCCTACCACGGGTAAGGGCCCTCTCCCCACTTACTCACCCAAAAAAGACTCAATTCCTACCACAAGTAGGGGCCCTCTCCCCACTTACCCAAAAAAAATAGCTGCAACCTTGTGTAAACCTTTTCCTTTTTTGTGTATATGTATTTATTTTTGTGTATATCTATTTTATTTCTTTTAGTTAAGAGTACCTAAAAGAAAAGAAGCCAAGGCTTCATTTTTCTCTAAAAAAAATTAGATAAACTCACAAAAAAATAAGAAAGAAAAAAACAATGGGTTATAAAAGTGGGGGAGGGACTGAACCCATAACAGATTCAGTCCAAGCCAATTCCCATTATGGATAATTAAGTTTTATGGACTAGAAATAAGTCAAGAACTAAGCAAGGCGGTTTTTTTGGCAGAGAGAGATAGACTTGAGAAACAAGGAATATAATAGGGTTTCTTGGTAAAACACTAGGTTTTTTTCATCGATGAGAAATAGAGGGTTGAATTCTTGAATTTTGTAGTAAAATTAAACACAAATCAACGTACCCTCTTAGTATCAGATACCACTACAGAGCAAAAAAGGTTTGGATACCTTTGGGACGTACCAGTCCAAGTCGCCAATTCAACTTGGCTCCCCCATAAAGCCCTCCTTACTTTTTTTTCTTCTTTTGTTTAAATTTATTTAATATTTTTTTATAATTCCTGTCCCCATCCCATAAATCCCTATTTTGATTTTTGTTTTTTATTTTATTTACTTTATATATTTTTTAGATCACAAAGGGCCAATCCAAACCCAATTTGGATCCCCGATCTAACGATCCAACACGATGAACAATCCAAACCACTAATCCGGGTTTTAAAACACTGGGAAATACAATTTTAAAGGAAAACGTATTGGCAGAACACAAAAAGGACCCCAACCCCTTTCCATGCTTATCGCACAACCGCAAGTTCTCTACAGTCCATTACCTCCCTTAAAGCCTATGCCGCTTTTGAACAAAACGTCGCTCAAAACCAAGATTACATGTGAAAGGACACTATAATTATGTGATGAATTAGAAAAACAAAATAGAACAGATCTGTTCACAATCAAAATCCCATCTCATAGTAGATAAAATAACAATCTACAATCCCAAGGCACACCACCAATTTAAACTCACTAATACATTAACAGAAGACGCCATTTAGCAGCAGCTATTTTCAGTAGATGACTTATTCCAGACAAATCTCCATATGATAAAGCTCAAGGATTTAACTCCTGCTCCTGCCAATCTGAAATATTCTGCAACAAAAGCTATCTTTTTTCTTTCCTTCTAGGGATAAGTTAAGCTTGCTTCCTACCGACTCAACAGACAAAAAATTCAAGTACTCGAGGAAGCTCGAAAAAGAATTGTTTTCCAAACATAAATAGCATACCTGGGGTTCTTATTTCAGTTTGTTTTGTCTTTCTCAGGATCTGAACTTATAACAGGCAGGTTCCTTCTGTATTGTGGGGAGGTGAGCCTTCTCTCCAACGGAGTCTTCCTCTTGCTTACTACAAATCTGTTAACCCCTTTCCTCATTGGCATTATCTCAGGGAAATCCTCATCAGGGATCTGACTTAGTTCTGATATATCCTTAATTTGAGCCACCCTCCTGAACCATCTTTCTGCTTTAGCTTCTTCAGACATGTCAAGTGGATCTGGTTCTTTCACTGCTGAACCCTCTAAAGACTTCCCAGTAAATCCTTTGTACCCACTCTCTCTCTTACTCTCTGAATTATCAGATTGCTGGTTTCCATAGGCTGAACCATCCAAGGTCTTACCCGTAAACCCATTGTACCCATTTTCTCTCCTACTCTGAAAATTATCGGGCTGCTGATACCCAATCTCTCTTCCACTCTGCTGATTTTTGGGTTGTTGGTATCCATAATCCTTTGGGGCTGAACCCTCCAAGGACCTCCCAGTGAACCCATTGTACTCGCTCTCTCTCTTACTTCCCAAATTTTGGGGTTGTGAGTACCCATAATGATTAGTTCCTGATCCTTTGTACCCACTCTCTCTCTTACTCTGTGAATTATCAGATTGCTGGTTTCCATAGGCTGAACCCTCCAAGGCCTTACCAGTAAACCCATTGTAACCATTTTCTCTCCTACTCTGAAAATTATCGGGCTGCTGATACCCAATCTCTCTTCCACTCTGCTGATTTTTGGGTTGTTGGTATCCATAATCCTTTGGGGCCGAACCCTCCAAGGACCTCCCAGTGAACCCATTGTACTCGCTCTCTCTCTTACTCCCCAAATTTTGGGGTTGTGAGTACCCATAATGATTAGTTCCTGATCCATCCAAAGGTTTCCCAGTAAACCCAGTGTACCCACTCTCTCTCCTAGTCTCAAAATTTTCCCGTTGCCCATATCCATAGTCCTTTATGGCCGAACCCTCCAATGAGCTCCCAATAAACCCACTGTCTCTCCTACTCTGTAAATTTTCGGGTGGTTGTTGGTAACCATGATCCTGCATAGCCGACTTCTGCAAATGCCTCTCCGAAAAACCAATGTTCCCAAATTCTCTCTCTTTGTTGTTTGGAATATTATTATCAGAGTTCTGGTACCCATAATTTTCCATGGCTGGACCCTCAAGAGGTTTTCCAGTGGAATTCATGCATTGAATCTCTCTCGTAATCTCGAAATTTTCAGATTGTTGGGCTCCCCCAACAGAAGAGTCGCTTTTGTTTGTCTCTTGAGTCGTCGAAACACCAGAAGTAGCAGAGGAAGAGGTCTCTGTTGAACCAGATGGCTTATCCTTCTTTGCAAAGTAATCAGGTGGAAAAGGAACAAAAGGGACAAAGTTGGAGGAACTGTTTGCTTGCTCCATGGCAAGGCGCCTCTTGTATTGAGGCGAGGTCAAGGACCGGTCCTTCTTCTTACTTACCACAAATCTATTCTCTCCCTTTCTCATAGGCATTATCTCAGGGAAATCTTCATCAGATATCGCAGAAGCTAAGTCATTAACATCATGGAGCTCTGATAATTTCTTGAACCATCTCTCTGATAGATCAGATGGTTCAGAATCAGTATTCTCAACCTGTTTCACAACTTGTTTCTCAGAGACCAAGCCACTGCTAGAACCAACACTCTCAGATGAATCGCCAAGAACTTCGCTAGATTTGGGGGTCTCTGCTACACTACCACTACCTTTATCTTCTGTCATGGCCTTAGATTTCTTACCAAACAAGCTGGGGTCTAATGGAGTGAATGGAACATAACCAGCATCATTCCCTTGATAAGCTAAATTGCGCCTGTACTCAGGTGATGTCAGCCTCCTTTCAGATGGAGGCTTTCTCGTACTAACCACAAACTTACTCTCCCCTTTACGCATGGGCATGATTTTGGGGAACTCATCATCAGGTGTTTCTTCTTTCTCATTGCCCAACTTCGCAACGTTAGAAAACCAGTCTACACTGGGATCATTATCATCTTTCTCACTCTTACTGGTTTCAGAAGAGAGAGAATTCGAATTTCCTTTTTCACTCTCACAGGTTTCTGAAACATTTGAGGCAGATCCAAGTATTTTGTCCAAACTCTCACTAATTGATGACTCAGTAGGTCTATCAGAATAAGCCACATTGAAAGAATTCACACCATTATCATCAACGTTCCTCCTATATTGGGCATTAGCCAACCTCCTCTCTAATGGTGTCTTCCTCGTGCTAACCACAAATCTGTTCACCCCTTTCCTCAAAGGCATAATCTCAGGGAAATCTTCATCAGCTATGGTGCTGCTCAAGTCAGAGGCATCATTGAGTTGAGAGACTTTACTGAACCATCTTTCTGCCTTTGCATCATTCTCAGCAAGCCTTCGCTCTCTCTCAGCATCAGAGGAAGGTACACTGTTGAATACTTGGTCTCTATTTGGGCTCGGAGAGTAACCATTGGTAATGGGGGGTGTTGTATTATATGAGTTGTCCATGCTTCCATTCACTATAGTACCGGCTGGACATTTGCAGTCACACCTTAAGCAAACAGCATTCCGTCCATAATTGAAAAAGTCACACCTGAAAACAGATCGAAAAATGTTTTTTATAACTTCGCTTTATAGAATGAGAAGAAAATAGGTAAAGCACATGCAAATCGTTACCAAATGAGAAAAAAAAAAACGCACTCTGCAATTTGATGACTCGAATAGAGAAGTTTTTCATTAATAAGAAAATAAAGAAAAAGAACTTTGTCAAAGGTGGGAAATAACTCTCTCTCCTTCTCCCTCCCTCCCTCTGCCTGACTTAGCTTGGGAATACAGAGCAGATATTATGATTATTGCCCGAGAAAACTTACTGAGGGCACTCCCACTCTCCTCCAGTTAGCTGTCGCTTTGGCCGTGCCTCATCACATTCAAGGCACCTCGTGTTCCTTGCAAAGTTCATGAAACTGCACCTGCTCAATAAAAAAAACAAAAGGCGATTATATTTCCTCAACCCAAGAATGCGTGAAAATAGATCTCACAAAGGCTACCTAATTACAAAATCCTCCATGCAATAGATGCTACTGAAACAGTGCCATGTCATTATTGTTGTTGTTAGTGTTTTTAAAGACACTTCGTTAAAAACATTCATTTAGGATTTTTCTGCAAGAATTTTGTAAGAACAAGCAGCAATTTGAGGTTGAGTGTGTGCGCAAGCGTGCACTAGTGCGTATCCATGCTTCTTCACTTTTCAATCTCTTTAATCTACAAGTACAATGAAAAGTTTGGATGGCTGGCATCACCACCACGCAAGTTGCAAACCCATATAACCAGGGGCACAATAGCCTTAGCCCCACTGGAAATAAGATTGAACTCTTGAATTCATAAAATTCCACAAAAACATCAAAAAATTTGCAACAAACTGTATGAACCAACCAAAGTGATTTCATGAAACTGAATCAATCATGTAGAACTATCAAAATATTAAAATGAGGCAACAGAATATCTACTACTCAGATTGGGAATCTAAAGGAATGGCTGTCAGGATATGGGCTCTAGTATACTGAATTGATAATACAACTTTATGACCTCATGCCAAAACTTACTTTGCACATATCCAATCACCTCGCTTCATTTCAATATTTTGTCCCAAAGGCCTTGGTGGCCTTCCATATTTATCAGAAGCCAGTGGGGCAATGGAGTCTGAATAGTCAACCTTTTGGAATGCTCCAGTCACTTCAACCAACTCACGAAGAAGCTTGCGAACAGATGCTTCAACAAGATCCTTGTTCTGTATCTCATTTCCCTCTGTGGAGACAAGAGGACTGGATGCATAGCTCAATAAAAAACGCATCAGATCAATTGTGCCTGCTTTGTCATGCTCCAACACCTAAAAAGTTTTGCAGCGCCATCAGTACTAACACACACAATACAGGCTAACAATACCCATATGAAACTGTTAGCATCATTTGATAACATCACCTACTCATAAAGATGATACAATCATTAGCTTGTGAAGACTTATGCTATACAATTAATCAGAGTCTAGAATCACCCCTGCAAGGCATTGGAAACACATGCAACACAAGTGCGTGCGAACACTTCTAAATTATGTAGAAATTATAAAAAAATCACACCAAGGTAAAATAGTCAAAGATGAGTTCCTTTCCCTCGGCACGTTCCCTTGAGACCATAGAGAAGTATCCTCAGTAACTTGCTTTTAGTATCCATTCAAATCGCTTTGAGTCAAGACCTTTCTTTCATTTTATTCATTTCAAACCTTGACACAAGTGTAGTAAAAATGGATTGGAATTTAATAAGCCCTAGTTGTTTTTGTATATTTTTCAAAGAAAGATTATTATGTATGGCATTGGGGTCAAGTTGTTTCTATTAGAAGTCTAAGACTGCCATCAACATGGTTGCCACTAATATGGTCATGACAATCCACCCATTCAAACTGGTTATTGAGCCAATTTAGACCTTTCTTTTGCCTTACGCATTTACAAACCATGACACTTACGGATAGTCGACATAAACTGCAAGTTCATTAGCTCTAATTGTTTTGCTTGTTTATCACAAAGAATTTATTTTGTATAGAAATCTATGGGGTCATGTAGTTTGGCAATTTTGGTTGATGTCCACTGGCTCTTAAGAGGTTTCACAATTTCTTCACTCAATTATATCATGCAAACATGAAACGTCGAATCCATAGTCCATGTTTGCTATCCAGATATAATTGAGTAACGAAATCAACAGAAAAACCAAAAATTTCCAACCTTACATGACCGATATGTAGCCAAGAATGTATTACAGTACACTAGGGAAGTATTTCCTCTTACAAATTTTCATATTTAAAAATTAAACTATTTTTCAATGGCTTAAAAGAGAAGTTAAAGATTCCCAACTTGACTTGGAACTCAGCTAGGAAAGCTGGCTAAGACCAGGGTGATTCCCAAGCCTTGTCCAAGATTCCTAACTTTAGAAACATGTTGCCAAGTTATCACCTAAAGAATGAGACAAGTATTACACATGCAGCCAATGCATCATGATATGCAAGAAACCAAAGTGGTTGAAATTCACCATCCAATACCAACCTAATGCAGGGAAAAAAGTAATAATCCAGTAAAAATAAATTATAAAATAAGGGACGAAAGAATTATACCCGCTCTCAGGGTCCGCAAGGGAGTCCACCCCAAAGATCTCTTCACAAGATCAAAGAAAACTCTTTCTTTACTCAATTCACTTCCTTACAAAGAAGGAACCTCTTTCCCTTCAGATACCACTTCAAAGAAATAATAAATAAAATAATAATAAAAAAACCCACAAAAATAGACTCATCACGTAAGTACCCTTTCACTTTCCCTTGGCTCTCCAAAAAATATAAGCCTCCTATTACAAGGTACTTTTTTTTTTTAACTATCAACCTATTCTTAAAGATTACCTACTAAAAAAAACACCACTCTATCTTTCTAAAAAGAAAACCCATACCATGTTTTCCCTATCTCTATCCTCACGCACCACCTCCTCCAACCTAACTTATCCTCAAGTACCACTTCCTAATCCTAAGAAAAAAATAAACAGAAAATAATACAATTAAAATTTTGAATTTTCCTAAAAAAAATTTGCATCATTCTTGGGGGTTTGAGAAGCTCGACCTTGAGCTTGAAAAGTCGAACTTGATTCAAAGCGCGCCCCCTTCATCGCCATGTACAAATATTTTTGGAACTTGATCTTCTTCTTGAACTTCATCTACTTCTTTAGCCAAGTGTACCTCCGTCTTCTTTTTTGGGCATTCATATGCACAGTGTGCTGTTTCATTGCACCGATAACAAGTATCATTTGCAATATCCTTTTTTTCTTCACTACATTTTGGTTGGCACGAAAGCTCCTTCTGGGTGCAAAAGCGCTTATCAAAGCTCCATTGGTATTTGGATTCTACTCGTAAAGCAATTTGAAAAGTTTCACTTAAAGCCCATGGCCGATGTAGAAAGACCTCATCTCTAATGGTTGGTTGAAGCCCATTTACCTCAGTCTCTCAGAGGTTGTTTCGAGCTACTAGTCTATAAAATTCCCCAGTATAATCCTCCGATTTCTTTTCATTTTGTCGAAGATTTTGGAGTTCTTGAAAGAAAAATTTGATCATGATACAAAGGAAAAAAATTTATTTCAATTTCTTTTTTTTCTTTTGCCAGTCAGTAATTTTTGCCACCCAACTTATCCTCACGTACCACCTACTAATTCCTAAGAAAAAAAAACAACCAGAAAATAATAAAATCAAAATTTTGAATTTTCCTAAATTTTTTTGCATCATTACAAGCGTCTAGGCACCTTTCTTCCTAACCAGGTGTTTATGAGAGACTGTGAACAAAGTGCCACTTACGTGAAAGTGGAGATTTACAGTACATCCTGTGGGAATGGAGTCGAGGACTCCAAAAATAACATATTTTCCTTGTTTTCTTTTTGTTTGTCCACTCCTCTTCAAGCCTTATTATTCTTCCGACTTCACTCGAAACTGGCGCTCCATCCCTAAGAACACTCCAAAATCCAGGTTGCACTTGTGGTTGGCTCCAGACCCCAGCACCATCAGACTCAATTTTGATTGTTGCTCTCCAGGCAACGTGGACGAGCTTGCTTGGCAGCCATTTCAGGGACAACACTGCCATTGTGTAGCTCAATTTTAAGGGTCCGTCCAATTGGCAAGGCATCTTTGACCGAGGCCAAGAGCCCTCCTCGAAGGCCTGATCGACCCTAGGTGGGTATCTTCTTTGGTTGTAGAGGAGGATTCCAAGAATGTAAGCAAAGAAGAGTATCCATGAACCCTTGGAGATTAGAACAGATGTTTGATCATTCAGACTTCATATGTTGATAAAGGTCTCCTTTAGGCATATATGGGGAGAGTCCAATAAAGCAGCAGATTCTTTAGCCACAAGGGGTGTTTTGAACAAAAGTTTTGTAATAACCAAAGTTACCACAATAATGAGTTCCGTAGTCAAAAAAGATCCGAAATCCCATGTTAGAATCTTTTCCTCAAACAACCACGTCAACCATGAAGTAGCCAACCACATAAAGACAACCTCTCATGTAATCATTGCTCAATGGAAGTCCAATGATTATCCCTCATTGCATTATAACAAGATATAGCCAGATGAATGCAGAACTAGGCTACAACTGCATGGTTTGTGACACACTAACACTATAGCATCCAAGTTCTGACTAATGCATAGAACTTGTGGTACATGCTATGTTACTTGGACACCCCATTCACACTGCCCTTTTGCGTGTCAACACGACACTGTGTCAATGCTTCCAAGCACAAATGAGATCTGGCATTTGAACCCAAGACACCATGTCCCATGTCATGTAGTCTACCACAACATGAATCAGATATAACTCTAATAAATAGGAACTATTTATTTTATGTATATAAAATATACTATTCTATTATAAAATAACAATATCCTCACATGTCTCGGTTCTTGGCTGCTGCATCTAACATGTAGACACACATCAGATTGTGACACCTGTGTGAGTGTACAAGGAACATAGGCTACATGAACCATAGGAAAGAAAAGTATAGCAAACAATACTATAGGAATTCAAGGAAACTGTCCTGCTTCCGATCATGAGTAGAAAATAATTGCAAACACCAGCATTTGACAAAGACTCAGCATTTACAAAACTAAGAGTGAAAGTTTCATGAAAACATTTTTCTTGAATTAGTTCACGAAAGGCATTTGTGCAAAAGAAACTTAATAAGAAAGCATCCAATACAATATTAACTTAAATATGCTACTGTTATTGCCCCTTCATATCCAGAAACTTCATCTTTTTGTTAAAATATCATGGGTCAACATGTGTTGGCACTTGGACACCATGTCACACTTCCAGGCACTGGAATGTTACAAAAAAATGTATATCGTATTGAGCACAAGGAGAGTACAAGGGTGGTGTTTGAACAACAACATCCTGTGCCAAGTTTGTGTGGCATAGCACTGAGCCAACATAATCCGAATAACAAATATGAACAATTTATTGTACATACATTAAGATATCTATTGTTTCATTGTAAGGCAATAATTACAAAGATAAGTCTTTCCATATTGGTTTTCTAGTCCAAAGTACCAGAAACTAAGACAAGCATTAGAGTTCGACACCTGTATTCATGTCAGGATAGCATTACTACACCCAAGTCAACGAATTTGATCAAAACAACTCAAAATTAGAGTTCAGAAAGACATGGACTTGAACAACATCCTGATCCTTTCAACACTCAATGGAAAATCAAAAACTCCGTAGATAATTAATAATAAAACAAAATTTATTTTCTTGGATGATGACTAAAATTCATTATCAATGCTATATAATAACAATATGAAATTCTAAAAGCATACATTTGCATGGTTGGTAATCAGGAAGTCTCTCATCCTCCTTGTTGAGCCTGTACCATCTTTGAACAAGAAAGGAGACCCATTCTCCACTACAACTTCAATATCCCTCCTAGAAAGTGACCTGTGCAACAAAAATGAACAAGTGAAAAATACACCAACTTTGAGAACTCGGAGAAAAACTTAAGCAAAGAGATTTCCATCAAATGTATAGATAACTGAAACTTTCAAGACTGAAACTTTAAAGACTGAAACTTCAACGCTGTCCCATGACTAACAGAGTTGTAAACGCCAAGAGAAAGAGAGAGAGAGAGAGAGAGGAGAGAGAGAGAGATTCCCTGCAAGGAGGGGGAGACACATATAGAGAGAGACAGATAGAGAGGAGAGCACGCAAAGCCATCAATTTTTAAGGGTGATTACAGATAAAGAATAACAACAAGAAGAAGACGAAGACGAAGACGAAACAGGAGAATAAGGGTTGCCTGATTATATCCGAACGATCGTGAGCAAACCCCAGACAAGCATTCACCGCCACAGCAAACTCATCTGAAACCCCCTCCAGCTCTTTGATGCCATCCTCTTCCCCAAATCTCTGGTCAATCTCTCTCTTGAAGTACCCTCTCTCTCTAAGATGATCCACAAACCTCACCCACTCAGGCCATGGATGAGACGGAACCCTAGAATTCTGAACAAACAAAGGCGTAGCCTCTGCGAAATCTTCTCTAGCCACCTGTGTACAAAACCTCTGAGAAACCCGACCATTAGAGAACCCACCAATCCTGATGGGTCCATTTCTTTTGGAGAGAGAGTGTAAATTCCTCGAATTTGCAGAAAGAAGGGCGGCCCTGGCATGGCGATAAGATGAGCGGGAAGAAGGGGAAAGAGGAGAGAGAAACCTAATGTTAGAGGAGGCGGGGTGGGTAGAGAGAAGCATTAGGAACTTTGATGCACCGCCCATTAGAGAGAGGAGAGAGATAAAAAGAGAGAGGAGAGGTTTACGAGAGGGGTTTAGGGTTTTGGAGCTATTGGAGCTTGGAGATCTCCATTGTGTGGCTTAGGTTTTAGCAGTGGGTTGCCACCCATCAAAGAAGATTCTAGAGCGAGAGTAACAGGGTTGTGGCTTCGACGATAAGAGATATTTTATACGGAGAGAGAGAATGACGAGTTTTACTTTTTTTTCTAAGAAGCCCAAACTCGATTCGATGAGTCGAACCGGCTAGCCAATTATCCCGAGTCCAAATATATTAAAAATAAAAGAGTAAAAAACTTACCAAAGTATAAGTTTCTATCACCAACAATAAAATCCAAAACTTAAAAAATGATAACACCAACAATGAAATCCAAAACTTAAAAAATGACAACACCAACAATGAAATCCAAAACTTAAAAAATGATACCCATCTTGTAGATCTATAAACACTATTTTTTAGGGAGAAATGGACGGTTTAGATAATTTGTTACAATACTTATATTTTTAGAGCTTGGAATTTTTTTTATTTTTATTTTTTAACAACTATAATTTTCAAACCAAAATGATTGAGGTAAAAGTTTTCTAATCCTTAAATTGTAATTTTCGATAAGTTATAATGTGAGGCTTTATTTATTTTGATAGGGTTGCAATCCTATCAAACCATTTTCCATTACCAAATGCAATGTCATTTACTTACGCGCATCACCTCTCCCCTCCCGTTGGGAGGCATCAATTACCAATTGGGATGTTATTTGTCCGAAATTATGAGCACCACCCCTTACTTTTAGCTATGTTTTTTTTTCTTAAGTGGCCCCATGTTCAACGATAGAAACACCGGTGTTTTTTTTCTAGATCTTTCCAATATTGCTCAGTATTCTCAATACCAAACAGCTATATGTTACCCCCAAAATTAATTATTGCCAAAATTAACGAGCCCTCTTTGAATGTAGCAAGCTCATCCATGGCACCTCACCCTACAAATCTTGGGCGTGCACGGAAGCTTTCACACTCATCAATGAATCTTTCTCTATCTCTTCAGTACCCCTCGATCTTGAGCTGACTCATAAGAATATTAGTAAACTTAGCAATTTCATGGTTTTTTGTATTTTAGACGATTTCAAAGTTGGAATTTTTAAACCATCAAAACATAATTTTTTTTGTGTTTTGAGATGTTTGAAAGTTTGACATTTGAATCATTCACAGTGGCATTTTTTTTTTTTTTGATGAACAATTGAAAAGTTAGATTTTCGAGATGATGGAGAAATGGAAATAAAAACGCTTGAAAAATAGGGCTCACCATGGATCATTTTGTGGTAGGTTTATCTTTTTTTTTGTTGAGAGAGGTACTTCAGAGTTTCGATGAGAATTATGATCATAGTAGGATATTTTTTATTTTAAAGCTATAGAATTTCCCTTATTCGGAATTCATTTTTAGAGAGAGAAAATCTAGGGAATTTAGAGGAACGAAGTGAATAAAAGAATTCAAATATTGCACCCAAAATTTCCTATTTAGAGAGCGAAGAGCGATCTTATATTTTCTTATTTTAACTCAAATGGAGTTAAGAAATACGAATTAAGAGTACAAATTTCTATTTTTATTTTCACCTAATTTTTATTTTATTTTTTTTGAAACTGCACAAAAAAAATTATATCTAGGGGAGTCATTTGGGAAAAATGAGTTAGGATGAGAAATCAAAATTCACCATCCTGTTTATTTTTCCTCCCATAATATGGACTTCTTCACTCAATGACCAAGTCCAAGCAAATTGAAAAGATTTAACTTTTTGCACTGTGGGAAGAAGTTACTGGTGTGTACATATAAATGACAGAGAGAAGTTTATGATCATGTGTAACAAAAGCATTATGGGGTTGTCTCTTTACATATTTGGGTTCTGTAGATGTGAGAGAGGGGGAGAACCACTACATAGAAACCAAGAGTGTCCTAATTTCTATATAGAAACACGGTGCAATGACAAGAACAACCTATTTAAAAGAAGAAAATGTATACAATGATATCATTTATCTTTGGTACAAGGTGATCACAATTAATCTTGATCATTGGATGTGAAAGTGGGTGGTTGCATTTATTCTATTGACTAAGATTAAAATTCAAAAGAAATTTTCTCGAACTTTGTGACACATCCAAACTATCAGATTTCACATTCGATGATTATAAATAATTGTGACCTCCTTATTCAAAAAGTAAATAGTCACATTATATACATTCCTTCTAAAGAAGCATACCATAATTAAATGTACGGATGTACCACACTAAAATCATAGCAGTTGTCATCACCGTCCAATGGAATGATAAACGCTAATGGAGAGGGAGTGGCCCCACCATAACCCACCATTTTCATCGGAGATGCAGTATCTTTCGATGGTCATTTGAAAGTAGTACAGCTTCCTTTAGTTTTGTACTCTTTCCCAGGCTATCCAAGATGCGTAAAACCCAGAACCAGGCAAATTGAATGCATGACTTCGAAGTTAAAGTCATCAGATAAGTGAATTTTCTTTCTTAGAAAAAAGCAGGAAAAGGTGGCAAGCTTTCTGATTCCTCAATTGAGCAGAAGATACAGGGCGTATGTGAGCATCTAGGAGTAAACCAGAGAGCAGTTTTGTAAAAAGGATGCCAGAAGATTTCCTAGTTGGAGGAAAATCCTCGTAAACTACTATGAGTGTGTATCTATGAGAAGCCTTCTCATGTAAAAAACATGAATTGGGTGATTGTGATGGTCCATTAACTGATGGCCTAGGTCAGGCCTCCCTATGTTCTAAATGAGAAGGGTTCTCATGGATATAGCAAATACAAATACAAATAATCTAATTGAGAATTCAGGACAGAGTTTTCTTCCAAGGATCCCAATGCCACCACCTGAATATATTGAATTACCTATCCAATTTAAAAGAAAACAATTTTCTTTACGACTAGCTCGCAATGACTATTAATAAATCCCACGGACACAACCAATAACCAACATGAGCTCATATTGTGCAGCACTCTTTGAGTCATCCAAGATATTGAGCATGATATCTCAGTTCCTTTGTAGGAGGGCAGGGCTTAGAGATCTCATAATTTGGAGTATTGTCAAAGTCAGGTTATATCACTTTACTGGGCCTCTATGTTGATAAATTCAAATTCTTTTAAGAAAAAATAAGCAAAAAAATATGAAAATTATTTTGGCCAACAAGATTCAACGAAAAAATCATTGATATTCAAAAAGGAAACAGGCGACCTAGAGGAAATCCATGTCAAAAACTCAAAGCCCTGGCTTCCACTCCATAAATGAAATGGCAAGAAGTATCACAAGCATTGAGAATCAAATCCGTGTTATGACTCTAGATCTCACGGATCAGTATCTGAAAACCAAAAATGGTTGAGAGGAGGAGATTGTGGAGACAAACCCCATCTCTCATTGTTCTGAATAGAATTGAATTGCTAGGTCCTTTCCAGGTATCCTACTCTTTTAGTATGCAGTGCTTATTCCTGGAAACCTAATATGACTATGAAAAGATACTGAACAAATGAAAATTTAAGGTGTAAAATGTACATTGATGAACCTCCTTCAATGAAGTAAGAGCAATTTAGAAATGCGTGTAGCAAGGTAAAAAACATGATGACTTTGTGGGTCAGAACAGGATCCATGGACTATTAGACACCAATAATCTTTACCCAAAACAAATCCATTAATAAGCATCAGATCAAACAACCAGAAAAAAATCTCAGATAAAGCCGTTAAAATAATCAGATACCATGAGGAAGTTAGTACAAATTATCATCATAAGAAACACATTCAGAAAAGATCATGAATCTTAATGATGTGAAACCTACTAAAAATATTCAACAACGGAAAGGATACCAAACTCCAATAGACTATGGAAAGAGCATAGTCCATCGCATCTCACCGTCCAATGAAATGAAGGATGGTGTGGGAGAGAGAGGGATCCAACATCAGGCCATCTCCTATTCTGGTGGGCCACACTCTCAGCCCATCACCACCCATCATTACAATGGAGGGCGATGGTCCATAGGATTGTAGAAAAGATCATCTTTTTACAGATCTTAATCACCACTTACCTTGAATAAGAAAGACTCATTATATAGCTTAGTTCCATTGCAAATTAATTTTGAGGTTCTTTATTTCCAGATCTCAAAGAAGCATGATTTGATGATGGTAAAGATTACATTAAAAACACCAAGCAAATAAATTTAAACAAGGTACTTTAACAACAGAAAAGATGTACTCATACTTTGCTATATAAAACGACAAAATTGTATTATTGTGTATCAAAACATCAATAAGTTTGTTGATGCTCCAACAACAAATGGTTCCATTAATAACCGAGTCAAGAAATAAAACATGACACCTAGTGTGATAGAGACTGGAAGAGCAGGCAGAGCGTGGTTGCACAGGGATAGCAAAATAAGTGTGCACCCAAGACCAGAAATTATTGCAATGTAACAAGCATATACCGTCAAGAGATCATACATGGCTGCTCTACCTACAAGAACACTGTAAAAAATGAAATCTCCAAGACCCAATTTGATTCCCCTTGAAGCCTCAAATTCAAGAATCCGACCCTCTCCCCTCCTGCCTCTCTCATGTACACCTGCCCTGTCTCTCTCATGGTTCTCTTCCACCCTCTCTGTCGCATGACTCAGGTCATGAGATTCACCTCCACGAATAACTAATGGGGACATCTCCTCATTAACATGCTCTATCTCTCCATGATCAGCCCTTTGAGCTCCATAGCCACCAAAACTAGAAGAATTACCATCTACGGTCACTGTCGAATACCCACAAGTTTCAGAGGCACGATGGCTATCAATGCCATCGGAAGATTGAACAAATGACCTAGATGGTTGAAGTTCAACTGATAAAGCCGACTGAGACTGTGAGTACATAGTCTCTGAAGACTCTGAGACACCACCCACCAAAAGATTCATAGCAGACTCTCTGGGGCCACTCCCCGTAGAAATTGTAGGCCTTGCCTCATAAATCAGAGCAGGGAGCTCTTCTTCTCGACTCGAAGCAAGATCAACTAGCATCTTCAAAGGCCCACCAGGTGCCAAAACAGCAACCAAATCATATAGAGCCAACGCTACAAGAATAACCCAAGTCGTCCACTCTGGTAATTTTGTGAACCACACAGCTACTATTATGCCCAATAAGACCATATAAACCTGGCGCACGATAATTGGAACACCACCAGAGAAAACTGAGAGGACCCCAATTACACAAAAGTTGAAGAGAAGGATAAAACAAGTGATTGAATCTATAGGGATGGAAAACTGCTCTATAATCGATAAGAAGATGGGTCCTCCCATGGAACCAAGCACGAAAAAGGCCGAGAACCTCATGTAATTCTTCAAAAAACCAGTGAATCGATAATAGTAAAGCATAACCAGCAAGAATGTGACTAGTGCAATGAGAATTACAAAGACCCCAGCATTTAGAAGAGCCCCTTCGAACTTCTGGGTGTTAGAATCAGTGGATTTTTCTAAATAAACCAATGTTGCTGCTGTTCTAATAGTAGAGTCTGATCCTTGAGAGGACATATTGTAAACCAAGAGAACAACAAGGAACATACAGGCTGATACAGGGGCCATTACCCCTATGATTTCAACACCAACAGCCTCCAAAATGCTTTTCTCCATAATTTAGTAGAAGGGCCTTCAGATTTACGTCTGGGTATCAGAAAAACCAATAATTTTGCAAGCAATTTGATGAGAAAAAGAAGTTCAAACTTCAGAACATGATTTGGGCTGAGGGTTTTTTGAAAAAAGAGTTGCAAAAAAGGGCCCTCAAATTGCTTTTCTCCATGAATCAGGTTATGGGTCTTTCAGATATGGACACAGAATGTGCCCTTTTACAGAAAAAAGAAGCAATCAATTTGGGTCATGCAGATTTAGAGAATTTGTTGCAAAATTAAACCCCATAAAATGGGTTTTCAGATTAATGTGTGTCAATAAACAAGTAATTGAAAAACAAATTTTCTATGTAGAACTTACTGCAAAAACAAGAACAACATTCTACCAGAAATGGGTTTTCAATAACAAGTCATCGAATAAGGGGGAACGAAAAAAAACAATATTCGTGCATAGAATATGGATAAAATGATTGGAGGATCAATGAAAATTACACAGAAAATAACAAAAATAACCAAAAAACAGATAATTGGAAAGGTCTTAGAGATTAGAAGACTCACTTCTTTCTAGGCCTTAAAAATTGCTTTTCTTGATGAACGAAATGCATGAATTTTAAGGGAAAAATACTGCATATAAATGAAAAAAAATTATATGAGGGTGAGGCCCTAAGCAATCAAATTAAGGCTTGTGCCTATTGACCAAACACCAAACACTAAACTGGACGTTGTTTCTCAGAAAGCAAGATGATGAGCTTTTTAGAGTGAGAGAAAAACCCTTTGACCAAAGTAGCCATAGATTTGCAAAAATATTACTGTCATTACCCCTGCTCTTGTCATAACGCTCTCTTGTTTAATAGGTTGAAACTTGAAAATTGTTAAAAGTGGGGTGGCAACGGGTCGTGTCTTGCTGGTCCCCGATTCAGACCCAAATGGTATTTGGGTCCAAGTTTTGGATTCGGACCGATTTTTCGAATTCAAAATTTGGATCCATATCTGAATCTGAGGTTAGATCTACCTGACGGGTCCATTGCCTGACTATGAGTTTTTTTTTTTGGCTTTTTTTAATCATCATACACCAATATTATATATTATTGACAACAATACAGTATTGCACAATATTTATAAATACCCGCATTCTTTATTGTTTTACATAACAACTGTAAATTTTTAAGAAACAAACGTATTGGCAACATTTATGAATACCCACATGTACCCATATTATTCGGATTAGGTCCAGCTACACTCTCGACCCGAACTCGTGCTCTGATCCGACCTTTCAAGTCCAAAATTTGAACCCATACCAAACTTGAGGTCTCGGGTCTGGTTGGGTTCATTGCTACACCTACTCCATCTTTTTTGACATGGCAAAAAACACCCAATATTTTCAAGATTGAGGTGCGATTTTTAAATTCGTCTCCATTGCTCTCTTTTTTTTCTTTTTTGAAATTTCTACAAACTTCAAAACTCTCATTTCTTAAAATATTCACATCTTATTTCTTAAAATTTCAAAACTCTCATTTTAAATAAGAGTTATGAATTCTTAAAACAAATAAAAAATCATCATTTATCATTTTTTTATTTTTTGTTATATATCATGCAGTGAATAGGATATTCTTTCCTAAAACTAACTAATTTGAAAACAACTCATATTATAGTTTAAAATTAAGAATTTTATCATATATTAGATACAATGAGGGGAACAATTTTCAATTGTTGTTTAAAAATCCAATTGTTTTATGATAACAAGAATTATTCAACAATTAAAAAAATTATAAATAAAAATGTAAGAAATTACAGCTTATAAATTAGAGCTATGTTTGCCGGCTAGTCCTATAGGTAACATTTTCTTAAAGATACATGAAGAAGTCTACTTTGTATATATGTAAGGATCTCTCTCTCTAAACCATACATCATCACCTCTCTCCATTATTATGTTTTTTATTTTTATTTTTTTAATCCTTTTCTCATTGTGTGGCAAGGGACTCCATCTTTGGCTGAAGCGAGTTATTTTGGCTGCATTCGTGGTTGAAGCTAGTTATTTGGCCAAAAAAACCTTAAATAAATTTTTAAAAAAGGAATTTTTTAAATAAGTAAAATAAAAATTACCAATATTTTTAAATATTAAAATAAGTTTAAAAGAGCAGAAAAAAATAAATTTAAAAAATTGATTTATAATTTAGGATATTTTTAAACATTTATAAAATAAAATATAAAAACAAGAACTATGGCAAATAATACTCGCCACCGAAAACAGCCAAATTATATAAAAAAAGTATATAACATATATAAATTCTTTTAAAAAAAATTTATATGTTTTGTATACCCTTAATTATACACACAACTCATGGTACGTAGTCAAGTTTCTCGCCCAAGTCCAAGTAGACTCGGGCGAGTTATGCCAGTGGGGATGTGGGACTGTTACGGCTCTATTAGAACTATTGTTGTACCGCCGCAACAATAACATGTTTGTGACATTCAATTTTTCATTTTTATCACAACGGCTCTACTATGGTGAATACAATAACAAAATCACTATTTATTTCCGCCTATAAGTATTAAAAAGAATTTTCTTATATTATTATTGAGCAAACAATGTACTGCTCCCACGTGCTTAGAACGACAAAGAAATTACAAAAATCTCTCTTTCTAAATAAAGACATTATTAGTGTTTCCCTCTCTTAAATAAATGAGTGTTAGTCTCTCTCTCTCTCTGGCCAATCCTTGATCTGCACGAATCCATGATCCGGGCTTACTCTTCGTGCCATGGGACCAGCCTTCAATTATACTCCCGAGCTCACAGATGTGGTATTTTTCCGGACCATTTTGCCCTCCCTGCCGCTCTCAAGGCTTGTGCTGAGACCCTTAACATGACCATGGGCAAACAAGTCCATGCCCAAATCATCAAATTTGGGCCTTTATCAAACATATTTGTGCACACTAATTTGATTTATATGTATGCTAATTGTGGTAGCATTAGCGATGCACACTTAGTATTTGCTACTATTCCTCAAAGAAATGTGGTCACATGGAATGTGATGATATCAGGCTATGCTAAGGCTGGTCACATGATGGAAGCCCTAAATCTCTTGAAAAATATGAAAAATGAGAATTTAAGACCTAATGAGATTAGTATTGTGAGTGTAGTTTCTAGTTGTGCTCATTTCGGTGCACTAGACTATGGTGCCATGATGCATGGCTATGCATGGAGACGTGGGTATCATGGGGTCATGATCATCAACAATTCCATCATCGACATGTATGCGAAATGCGGGCGGTTGTGCATGGCTCGAGCGGTATTCAACGAGATGCAGACGAGGAGCATGGCATCTTGGGGGGCAATGATGGGGGGTCTTGCCATGCACGGACGCGGCATGCAGGCACTTGGGTTGCTATCTGACATGCTCGAGGAAGGCGTGAGGCCTGATAGGGCGGCTTTCACTAGCGTTTTGTGCGCGTGCAGCCACTCGGGGCTGGTGAACGAAGGGAGACTATGGTTCGTGAGGATGGTTCGAGACTTTGGGCTTGAGCCGTCGGTTCAACACTACGGGTGCATGGTGGACCTATTGGCTCGAGCCGGGCTCATGGACGAGGCCTACCGGTTTGTGATGACAATGCCTATCGAGCCAGATGGTGCAATGTGGCGCACTATGGGGTGCGCTTGCCTGGCTCATGGTGACTTAAGGATTGGTGACATTGTGATTGAGAAATTGCTTGAATTGGACCCAAACAATGGGGGTGACCTGGTGCTAATCTCTAACATGTATGCATGGTTGGGGAGGTGGGTGGATGTTGCCAGGGTTAGAAAGGAGATGAGAGATAGAGGGGTTAAAAAGAGTATTAGCTATAGCATTGTTGAGGTGAACAATGTTCTTCATGAATTTGTGAGTGGAGATGAGACACACCCTGAAGCTAGAGAGATCTACTGGATGGTAGATCACTTGGTAGAGCAACTTAGGCATGTGGGTTATGTTTCATGGCCTATACTTATGGATACCTAGTCACTGATTTTGTATTTTTAGGGCCCTTCTAATTATTGATCAAGCATTACTTTGAATTGAGCTTGCTTCTTTTACTTCACTTTTCCCTTTCTTAAAGTATCTTGTAGAGTGATTTGAAAATTGTTGATTCGGATAAGGAATCAGTGGGGACCGACTCTTGGCTGGAATTAAAATTGGTCAAACCGGGTGTGTCTGTCATGGAACTAGACAATCCAGAACGGTGGAGTAACCCAGTTCCCATCTATTTTATTTTTTATTATTTTTTAATTTTAAAAATATTGTTTCAATTTTTTGAATTGGTTCCCACATGAGAGAAGTGGTTGGATTGGGTGCCATATCAAATAATTTGTCTGATCCAGATCGGTTTAGCTGGTGACTTATGTAGCCAGTCTATCTTGGTTTTAAAACACCATTGTCATGTATCCTAATATTTTCAGAGAAAAAGAACTTTTCCAGCATTTAAGATTACTGTTGATAGCGGTCGATTTTATGGTAAGCATGCTGCAGAGATGGGGGTATTTTTATGTAGCCGAAGCATACCAAACCCCCATTTCTTTTACTTTAAATTTACCTGATAGCACTTGGGAGGTCGTGTTAGTTTACTTCCCTCCAAACAGGCCTTAATGTTCTTCACAAATTTGTGAGTGGAATTTCTCAATGCCAGCCCATTGAGGAAGCAACTTAACAAAGCATCATATGGGCTACATTGGGCTTGCATCACCCTTAATTATGGATGTTCACTA